TGAAAGTTTAATTGAATCATTAGAAAACTAAAGTCATCATTCATTTTAGAAAAAAGAGAAAGATGTCTAATAAACCAAGTTTGTTTCAAACTTGGTTTAAAAAACGGGGGAAATGAAATCAGGGTGTAAAAATGATCACCAAAAAAAAAACCAAAAAAAAAAAAAAACACAATAAACAATGAAAACAAATAAAATTGAAAAATTAAAGACCAAACTTTAACAATAAACAATGAAAAAAAAAGAATTGAAAAATTAAAGACCAAACTTTAATAACAAGTAAAACAGCATCAAAAAATGTTGATGATGAGGAAAATAAAAAAAAATCTCTCCAAACACAGTAACGACTCCTCCAGCCTCCTCCTCCTCCTTCTCCTCCTCCTCCTCCTCCTCCTCAATCGTTCCCGTCCCAGGAACATTTTCATGGCCCCTGGCTCCAAGAGGGAAACCCCGCAGAGGAATGCTGCGGCGTGCAGTTTTCTCCGACCTCCAGAGGAAGGCTCTGGAGAGAATGTTCCAGAAACAAAAATACATCAGTAAACCAGAGAGGAAGAAGTTGGCGGGAAAACTAGACTTGAAAGACTCGCAGGTGACCATGAGACCACGACACCTAGAACCTGTAGAACTTTATGGATTTCTCTCCCGTCAGGATTTAAATGTCAGAGAAAAAACAACTGTCAGGTTGTGTGACAACTTCCTGTTTCCTGTGCAGGTGAAGATCTGGTTCCAGAACCGCAGGATGAAGTGGAGAAACTGCAAAGAACGAGAGCTGCTGTCAACAGGGGGCTCCCGTGAGCAGACACTGCCCACCAGAACAAACCCACACCCCGACCTCACTGATGTAAGCTCTGCCTTCACCCACACCCAGCCCCGCCCCCATCACCTCAGCACCAGTGTACAGCTCCATCACAATGAGTCAGAGCTCTCAGAGTCGGAGCAGGAAGAAATCCACGTTTCATAACAAACTCACAAAATGACTTTTTTCCACAATCCCTGGTTTTTGTACAGTTATTTTTTGCAGAAATATTGGGAGAGGTTAAAGACACTTCTTAATAAAAATTAATATTTTCTTATATATGTATTTTGAAATAAATATATTATTTTTGTTGATGATCTGTTCTGAAACTCGTTTTACATTGTAAGTAGTGACGGTTTAACATTTTTGTAAAATCACAGAAAGGTCAGATGTAAAAAATAAAAAAAACATAAAAAAGTGAGATTAAAAACACGAGAAAAAGACATTTTAATTTTAATGAAGCAATAAGCAATATACCAATAAGTTCCTGAACAAATCTCCGAAAATAAAAGTTTCTCAAAAATGACTAAAAATGCACTCATTTGCCTTAAAATACTTCAATTTTTTGTGGTTAAATGTCAGAAAAAATAGACTTTTTTGGTACGCCAACTTTTTTACGCCAAATTTTTTTTTTGTTCTTCTTTCAGAAATTTTTTTGAAAAATAATTAATTTTTTTTTTTTTTTCAGAAAATGTTTAGGAAAAGAATTTTTTTCAGAAAATTTTTTGAAAAAAAAATCTTTCTAAAAAATTTTTTTTTAGAAAATGTTTTGAAAAAAATGTTTTTCTTGGTCTTGGTCTTGGTCTTGGTCTTGGTCTTGGTCTTGGTCCTGGTCCTGGTCCTGGTCTTGGTCCAAGATCACTTTCTCTTCTTCGCTGCACTATGCCGAACTCTTCCCCTGTGTCACCTATACTTGATCCGGGACCAGGCAAACTAATTTCGTTCATCGCATGTCTAACATGTGTTGCAATGACAACAGAAGCTTGAGTCCTTGATAATAAGGCATGTTTTGGGTGATTTTTGAAACATTCATAGTCCACAGGAAGGTACCAACCGCCCTAACCGAAATTTGAACTTGCCCAGGAGGTTAACCCTGGGGTTCCACACCAATGACAGAGACATTGGCTCTGGGCCAATGTGCCACAGAAAAAAAAAAAATTCTAAACATTTTCTGAAAAAAGAAATTCTGAAAAAATCTTTTTTTAGAAAATTTTTAGAGAAAAAAGTTTTTTTCTAAAAAAAAATGTTTTCAGAAAATTTTTTGAAAAAAAAATTTTTTTCAAAAAAAAATTTTTTCCCAAAAAAAAAAAAAATTTCCCAAAAAAAAAAAAATTTTTTTTTTTACAAAAAATTTTTTTTTTTTTGGGAAAAAATTTTTTTTTGAAAAAAATTTTTTTTTTAAAAAAAAAGGTTTCAGAAAAATAAAAAAAAAAAAAAATTTTTAAAAAAAAATGTTTTCAGAAAATTTTTTGAAAAAAAAATTTTTTTTTTAAAAAAAAAATTTTTTTCTAAAAAAAAATGTTTTCAGAAAATTAAAAAAAAAAAAATTTTTTCCATAAAAAATTTAAAATTTTTTTTAGGTCACTTAGAGGT